CAGCATTATCACAACAGGCGGTGATCAAAGACAGGTTGCACAGTGGCTGTACAAACACGTGTCCGCCACAAGCAACTGGAAGATTCCAGGAAGAGATAATGAATTCCTGGAGAAAGGGAGTGATTGAACCCTGTGATGGTGCGAATATGTAGAAACGAGGGGCAACGTGCAGGGCTGAGCGTTGAGTTAGATGGTTGTGCTGACCACCGCAGGGCGGGCGTCAGTGTTGGGAGGACACGGGGCTGCGGCAGCTGACACTGAGTTCGAGTTTGACCCATTTTCAGTTCTCTTCTTCAGCCGAGCTGTATCACTTAACCTACACGTTTCTTAGAATAAATAGTAAGACAAGTGTTGTAGCAAAGCCCTCCTTAGACATGAGGACCTTAGTAATTAGCAGTGAGAAATACCAGATTTCTAGGTGACATTTCAGTGAGGTTTTTTTGAAGAAAATCTTATTGTAAAAATTATTCCTCAAAGCTTACAAGGTAATTGGTTCTGGATATTCTGTTCATCTTTTTTAAAATATGGCAGCAGATTTTTAAGACTTCTTCCTGTATCATATTTTTAAATCTGGTATTAGGAAAAGCCCTTTTATTACAAAACCAATTATGTTTTTATTTTATTTACAGCAGGAGGCAGCGTGTTAGCATTTAGCGTCATTTTCTAGCAATCTCTAATTTTAGTAGCAGTATAAAATATAGTAAACTATTTCAATGTAATTTATACTGCAGAGAGAATTACATGAATTTACTAAAACTCCAAATGATAATTTAATAGCATGATTCTCTTATCAATAATTGTTAGCGACAGTTCTTTCTATATGAAAACAATAGAATTTGGTTGCAATTCTTTGTTTTTGTTGGTTTGTTTGCCTTTTGCTTTCCCCGTTCATTGGCAAGTGCATGTTTTGCCATCGTTCTTTACCGTGGGGATGTGTACGGCTCATCTGGCAGACGGCAGTGAGCTCATTTGTAACGCGTCGTAGTAAGACCCATTGAGCAGGTTACTTGAGATTACTTGAGCGGGGTGAAAGCATTGCTCCATCCTTTATGGAGAAAGCCATATGTTTAAGGAATGTTACAGTCAGTTCTACTCGGAGAGGTCAAGGCTCAGCCACTCTTCTTTCTGGAAAGTCTCCAGTGGTGCGTTGGCATTTTTCTCAGCGTACCTTCTCTCTCCACGCAGCAGGTCCTCTAAAGCAACTTTTCTCTTCCTTATCATTTTTTTCTCAAGCTGTTTTTTAAATCTCTATTTTGGAAAAAGGGTCAGGGACTGGTCTGGTGGCATGGTAGTTGAGTTCAAGTGCCCCGCTTCAGTGGCCCATGGTTGGCGGGTTGGGATCCCGGGTGCAGAGCTACACACTGCTCCTCAAGCCAGGCTGTGGCAGTGTCCCACATACAAAATAGAGGAAGATGGGCACAGATGTTAACTCAGGGCCAATCTTCCTCACCAATAAAAAGGTCATTCTTCTATGTTGTGACTATGATATGACTAGTAAACTCTTCCCAAGATGGTGGGGTAGGCGACCACTTTCTATTTCAGTGTCACACCCACTGGGTGGTGGAGTTTTCTTTTTGAACATGTGTATGGGTTAGTCAGAAGGCAGCTCATCACACTGATTCTCTGCTGAGAATGGGTTTGCTTCCTGGATATTTTTTTCAGCTGCACTGTTCCTTTGAAGACCCATTTGAAATTCATCTGTGGCTTTTAAAAGATAATAAAATAAATGTAATTGATGTCTTCCAAGTTTTTAAGCATCTCGCCATTAAATGATTATCTTCGTAGGTCGATTACTGATTTCAGCTATGAAACTGACTTTGCAAGTACATGGGTAGCTGAAATTTTTCAGTGACCTCCCCTGCTTTTCAGGAAGAATTAAGCAACTTTAAACTAAGAAGGACACTAGAATATATGGGCAATTAGAGTGGATGAGGGTATAGTTACTTTCTTTTCTTTTTATGTTCTGGAAGGGTTGGGATACTTTTTTTTACTTACAGTCTTTATTTCGCTCTGTCAAAAAATTACAGCAGAGGGATTCATTTTTACCCCAATTATAAAGTAAAATGCTGTGATTTTTAGTATGCTTTAAAGTAATCACATAATTTATTAACTAAAGCAGACATTAAGAGAAATGTCCAGGGCCAGCCCGGTGGTGCCACAGTTAAGTTCGCACGTTCCGCTTCGGTGGCCCGGGGTTCACCAGTTTGGATCCCGGGTGGGGACATGGCACTGCTTGGCATGCCATGCTGTGGTAGGCGTCCCACATATAACGTGAAGGAAGATAGGCATGGATGTTAGCTCAGGGCCAGTCTTGCTCAGCCAAAAGAGGAGGATTGGCAGCAGTTAGCTCAGGGCTAATCTTCCAAAAAACAAAAGAGAAATGTCCGAATGCCAACCTATCAACGTTTTATCTAGGATTTCTTTACTGTTTCATGCGTTAATCTTGAATCTATAATTTAAAAAGGAAAATGTATTATAAGTTTGATAATATATTTACAAATAATAAAATAGTATATTCTGAAGATTAGGGAGTGGTCTAGGAAAATAATATTTTGATACCAAATAGAATGAGAGAAAATGCAGCTCTTTAGTGTGAGTCAGGGTTTACTCTTTTGTTTTTTTTCCTTTTATTCATGTACTTAAGGTAAAAAGCTGAAAGTGGTGGACTGAGAAATAAAACTAAAAGTTTCTTCACAAAGTAGGACCCAGACCTTTTTAAAAAAGATTTTAACATAGCTAATTAAATTCAAGGTTACGTTTGGGGCTGAAAATATCTAAACTATTTTAAAACATGGAAAAAATCAACCGATCTCAATTTTTCCCTGTTATTAACTCAAAGGGCAGATACATATGATCTTCCTATAGGATTAAACTGTGCCTTTTGGTACAGACAGACAACATGTCTTGTGTCATTGTGTAGTCTTTCTCAAATATCATACAGGGTCGAATGGATGTAACCTAGAATGTCAACCAGAACAGCCGTCTTTAAAAACAAACAAAACAGATGAATATGGCAGCTTTGTATCATTGGAAGGACATTTATGAACTGAAAAACTAAATGGTTAAAATGATTTGCCTTTAAGAGTACCACATTATAAGTAAATAACACATATTAAGACTTGAACTTATACTTTTCTTGAAGTTAGAATTGAATACATTTTATATTTCCAGATGCCTCAGTGTTGCAGAATTTTCAGGATGGGAAATCAGATGGACTTTAAATACTGTCTATGGGCTGATGACACTTAAATTAATCTGGATTGTCTAGCACTCTCCTCTCCCCAGAACTCCTTATCGATAATATTTCTGTAGAAGGAATGAACATTATGTTTTAGATGTTGGCTCCTAGTATCAGTTTTTTATGTTTGCTCTTTCATTCGTTCATTCTATAAAGTCAATCATTATGCTTAATTCTTAGGCATTATTGATATGTTGACAAAAATAAACGAAAGTCTTTTCTTTTTAATGCTTTGTATTTATTAGTTTTAAAAGACTCATATATATTTTATCCCTTGTGAGAAGTGGTCAGATTCTGGACTTATGTTCTTGGGGATTCTTCTTTTTACTTTTTTCTCCTGTGCGATTGCAATGGTCTTCCAATTTCCAGATAGGATTAAGTTCTAAGGATAGATTTGTACAGACGCTAACTTTACAGCCAGTCTAGATTGCTATCTAGTAATATACATAATTTTTGAAGGAATAGTGGTGGTGGTATTTTAACTTTTCTCTATTTGAACATTTAAGAATGCTTTTTCTCCGTATTTATAAGGCCCCTTGCAACATAGTGTCACTTTAGTTAACACAGGAGATGTTCCCACATACACTTCATGTGTAGACCAGTATTTGACGTAAGATTCGTATTAATGAAAGAATGACCTATGCTACCAACCAAGCCATTACCTGAAACAGTTTTTTGTCTTTCATATCAACGTTGGTCCTCCACCTGTGCCCCCCTCTTTTTCAGTATGGTTGTCACCATAAGCCAGATTCCTACTTTGTCCTCAGAAAGGAGTGGTTAATATGTTTTGTATATTTATGAATGCTGAGTTGAGTAACTGTCTGTAAAAGATTTCTTTTTTGAAACATCTGGTGACCAAATCACTACAGATGAATATTATTTGAGGGTATGTAGCCCAGACATTCCAGGCAACGTGGTCTTTTATAGAGAAAAGTAACAGAGTGAGAAAAATAACTGATACCAAGTCTGAGGTTTCTCAGATATTTTGGATGCCAAAAGAGAATAATGTTTGTGTTTTGTTAGAGAGCCTGGAGTTCAGTACCCATCTGTAGGCGTTTTTGCGGACTATTTTTGAATCATTCGTTTGTGTCTTGTGCTTGTTTTTGATCAGATATAGATTTCCAAGCATTCGGCAACTGCTTTTCATCAGATGTAGGAATAATATTTGATGAGAATGCCTTAAAGCTTTCAATTTAATAAGCTCAAAGTATCATAGCAGTGTAAATTATCTTTTGTACTTTAAACCTTTCAAACATGGTTTTGTTTGTCAGTTTTTAAACTATGATGAATGTTTCCAATAAACCTGACAGTGAAAATAAAGAGTAGTTGTTTTGGAGAGATTATTAAATAAATGATTTTGGATTATCATTCTTTAGTCCTAAGAAAAACCAACTTCAATGCAGATTTTTATCCTCTGGCATCTGAAGTCTTCGGCACTCAGTCCTGTACATTTATTAATTGTTTAATAAGAATGAACTGCAAGGTTTTTGTTGTTATTATTTATTTTTGTTTTGTCAAAAGAAAAATGGATATTGAGGTCATTTTCCAAAAAGAGTTTTCTCTGGAAAGTTCTAATTAAAAATGAATAAAGTAAGCTCATTGAAATATTAATACCAGGCAAAACTCTAGTGAACTGAAGGAGGCATTTTTGGCTCTCATTTTGAGGAAGCCCGCATTTCATTGAGTACACGTGTCTTTATCACAAAAGAAGGAAAACTCATTTTGTATATATTGACAAGTTAGAATTTTTTGTTATCAACAGGTTTGGCAAACATCGAAAAGATGACAAGATTGAGAAAACGGGTAAAATAAAAATACAGGACTCCCTCACGTCAGAAGAGGAGAGAATACGAATGAAGCAGGAGCAGGAGAGGTAGACTTCAGTTATTTGATTAACCCTCACAAGACAGAGGTTCTTCTTTTTTCTTTCTACTTTTTTTTTTAACGTAAAGAATTTGCATTCGATTGGTTATTTTTTCTGTGTCATTCCAAATACTGATGGTTGTGGGGTGAATATAATGTAAAGAAAGATTAAAAGGAAGAAACTCATATTTATTTGAGGTATTAAAGTGAACTTTAATGGTTTTAGTTAAAATCTTTGCATAGAAGATAGTAGGACATGTTAGATGAATAAATAACTGTTAATACTGAATTTATGATCACTTTTAAAATCACAAAGAAATATTTAAAATTCTGTCTCATTCATCTATGAGTATGTGGTATATTATCATAACTTTTAAGAAATGCTCATCTGGAAATAAAGCTATTTGAATTTTTACGTCTCAATTAGAATATTTTGATTAAAATAAGAATTGGTGGGGCTGTTAGTTTTTTACTACATTGTTTTCCTTTCATACCTGATGTTTATTTCTTTTTTCCCTTCTGTTTCACTATCTTCACATTTTGTGTCATTTCTACTTAAATTTTATTCCATCTCTTGTACAAAGATTATCTATTGTTGAATCTTTCCATGTCAAGAACCCAAAGACCAATGAAATGAATGAAGAGTTACTTTAAGCAGACGCTTGAAAACCGTGATTAGAATTGTTCTGGTTATGCTCCCCGAGGATGGGAGAGCCGTCTCACACTTTCATTATTGGAGTTTACAGGCTCAGCGAGCTCCTCTGTATCATCAGATTTCATTTCAGAGCTGCCACAGCAAGAGCTACGGTGCCTGTTTTGCTTTGAATAATCTGGAGTTTAAGTGAGTTTCTTGAGCCTTGGTCGAGGTTATAAAGCTCAATGTAACCCTAGCCTAGTCCATAACTAGGATGATAGCCCAGCATCTTTAAGACCAAGTCTACTCTTCTTACCACAATTCTAGAGTCGGGCACTTTCAGTCTTATCAGTAAATGAAAGAACTAGAAAGAGTATCCCACAACAGCTTGCTTTAAAAGTGATTGTTTGGACATATTTCCGTTCGTCTAATATGTCTCTGCCTTTGCAGTATGCTTACTCTGATTCTCTCTAGCTTTTCAGAGTATAAAATACGTAAGTGGGAAAAATATGGACTTTTAATTTATGATGAAAATCTGGGTTTAGTCTTCTAGTTCTTCTCCAGTTTTTATTTTTTAAAAATCATTCCATCTCTCTTGCTTTCTAGGATTCTCTCTAATCCTTACCAATTTTGGGATCCCCAAACTTATTACTAAATCAGTATTTTTAGGCCAGGGTGCACAGAGTTCCTTAGTGAGTGTGGTATGCCATTTAATTGCTCAGTAGTATAACTTTTTATCCTAAAGGACTTTCTTTAGTCCCTCAAGGAAGAGTCTATACCAGGTAAATGGGTGAACTCAGGTTTATCCACAGGTAAATATGCGATTTAGTTAGAGAGCAATCTGAGCAATAGAAAGAAATATTGTACCTTTCCCCTATCTTGATGCCAGCTAAAGGGGCTTCATTAATCCTGTATCACTTTTCATATTCTAAGTATTCCTTCTTTGCAGTTTAAAATGACTGCTGTGTTTCAGTGCAGAATTCTCAACATTTTCCAAAATACTTCTATAATGCATAGTCAAATATTTCGAGCCAAACAATAATTTTTACATAATGGTTTCACTGTATTACTAATTTGCGTAACGAACAGTTCGCTTCTCAGTTTGGCTTTTAATCTCCATTTTTGTACCTCTAATGATGCAATACTTCTGGGAACTAGGTTGGTCATAATGAATTTACAATGTACAGGAGGCCTAGACTAAAAATCTTTTAGGGTCAAGGAACAAGTGAATGATCCATTAAAAAAATCAATTAGCTTCATAATTTAGAAAAACTATTATACTCTGACTTTGTATTTCAATAACAATTTTTGCAAGTACGTTTTATTTAAACTTGTGGATCTTGTAATAGAGCATGTGAATGCATGAGACTTATTGAATTATATAATGGACCGTGTTGTATGTTTGTTATTTTGGTAGAGCAAGCCTTCTCTTGTATGTCCTGCTTTCTATTCTGTCTGTTGGCAATGGTAAGGCTCGTTTTTAGAATGGAAACTGCGACTTCTCTGGGAAGAATTTGATTGGAGGAATAGATAAAAATAAAGAACCCACTGCTTATGTTCTCATGACAGTGTTTACTTCCCTGCTCATTAGTCGTGAAGCATCTCCTATAACATTATTTACCACTGTAGCTATTTGAGTTCTGAAAAGTATTTTGGCTGATTCTATATAAAAATAGAAAACTTGACATTCCTTAGTTATTAGTTATGATGTGTCCACATACCAAAATCTTTTTGTCCATACACATCCATGAAGTCTGAGTGTTACTCAAGATATAAATATCAAAAAATGGAAAGAGCAATGAGTATAATTTAAAATGTTTTCCCTTGCATGTTAAGATCTATTTAGATAGTGAAAGTAAATTAGGTTCTTCTGAGATTAAACTTGACTTCTTGTTAACTTTCCCCCCTTTCCTTCCACTTGCTACCATTGTGGGGGGTGGGGTCTCCACACATGAGAAATGGATGAGGAAGATCGCTTCGGTGGTCTGTCTTCTGGCTCCACTAGCCCTGCCCTGCCACAGACTTGAGCCTGCTGGCCTCAGGTCTCTTCTTGAGAAGTGGGGAGTCTGGGGATGACACCAAGGGTGAAGTCAGCCGGTCCTGGGTTGTGCTATTGTGACCTCTAGCTCTGAGCTCAGAACCTAGCTCCCAAAGCCTTTCAGAGATGCTGTTGACCACACTGGGGAGAGGCGAGGAGGCTAGGCAAAGCAATTGGTATTTGGAGTTGAGGTGTGAATTTAGCGCTTGCTGCCTTTTACTGGTTTCTCTTTCAGGCGTGCCTAGGAACACAGCCCCTGTTGGCTCATTTCCGCTATATGAAAGGATTGGGCTCTTTCCTTACCCTAAAGAGAACACCTTCAATTAAGTGATCTATGTAACTGCAGGTCCAGTTAGCTTCCATCAGGAGGCACACTGATGGATTTCTCTGTTGACCAAGAGTCAGAAGTAATGTTTTGGCTTTCTACTGTGTTTCTGCCCTGGTGATATCCTTGTTTATGTCTTAATGGTTGGTATATAAACAGTGGGATGTGGGGTTTCCCAAACAGCGTTCAGCAGTAGAAGAAGAGTTCCACATGCAAATATTTCTGAGAAACACTTGGATGACCCAATTTATGCGTGTTTCTTTACTCCATCATTTCTCAAAACCCTAATTATGTTAAAGTACCTAGTGAGTCACCAAGATAAGAATAGAGACTCATCATGTCCTCACTTATTTATTCACAGAACATCTCTTTCATTTTTTATTTTTCATAAAATACTAACATCTCTCAGAATTCAGTCATTTGAGAAATACTGATGGCAAGCAAAGACCATTGGCTCCTGGTTCAACCATATCCACCCCCTTACTCATCTCACTGGCTGTAGAAATCAGTCGATCAGTTCCTAGGGCCATGAGCAGGTTTAGAGCCAGTGTCGTAACCTGCCTCTACTATATGGTTTCTGTTTTGTGTGCTTAGGAATCTTATTCCTATTCCATTTTCTCTTTCCCACATTTCTCACCTGTTTAAAACATAAAACTTTTAAAGGCTAATTCTAAATTTATTCTAATTCTAAATCTACAGAAAATTTGGAAAAAACCCCCATAAAATTAAAATAGGAAAACAAAAATTTATTTGTAATATTGCCACTGTAAACATGGTGGTCTGTGCTGTTCTAATTTTTTTTCCTATAAAATATGTATTTCCACACATACGTATTTTTAAAAGTTAGCATCTATTTTCATTTTGATTTGTTTTGCATTTTGATACATTCTCAGAAAATCATGGTAAATGTTTTCTAGAACAAGGTCAAGTGTATATGAACAGATGGATGGATGAGAAAGAAGGACAGAAAGAAGGAAAGAAGGTTTGAAAGATAAACTATTAGTTGTACTACCTGGCCAAATTCCCTAACTATCAAATAATATCTACCGCATATGTTATTCAGTCTATTAAAGGAGATTTATAATATTAACTGGCCGCATTTTGTAGTTACTCAGCAAAAGATACCGATTATGTTATTATTATCTATACCTACATAGTAGGTTATGCTTGGAAGAATTTTCAAGGGGACTGAATGCGTGTAGTGGGTACATGAATAAGTTAATGAATTTCTTATGAAATCCTCCCAGTATTCAAAGGGTATTCTTAAATCTGCTAAGGAAATGTATGCCTTGGAACGTTCCATTATTCAAGGTGATAGTCACCCTTCAAAGCTTTGTGTTTTCAGTAGTAGGCCATTGAACTGTGTGTGTCTGTAGGTGGTACACGACCAGTTTGTGGTGCGTCATTTTGCAAGTTTTTGTGGCATTTCTGCGTATGGTTGCCATTCACTGGTGTTTCTCCTTTTGATTTTACCAACTGTTCCCATTGTCTACTTTGAGTAATTACTTGAAATTTCGATAAACTTTTTTGTGGTCTTAGTTGGTAACATCCTTTTCAGCAGCTGATATATGTTTGTTTACTTTATGCAGAAATTAATCGTTTTATTATATGTCTTATAATGTAGTAGTAAAGCTTGTTTGAAGTATATGAATAAAGAGAGAAATTACAGGAGGAGCAATCTATATAGCAATAATAGATGCGTCATTCCCTGTGCATCTGAAAGAAAGAAGAGAAAAAGAGTTTTCACTCATTTGGCTTAAAACTTAGTGTTCAGGTTCTCAGAATTCTGACATGAGAACCCGGATAAGCCCGATAACCTGGATAACCTTTGCATTTAGGTCACATAGTGTCATTCAAACAAAGCTTGACTTTTAAAAATTAACCTTTTGATGGAAAATATATATGTCTCTATCCTGTAGCAGAGTTTTTCATATTTTCTCTGACCTCTTGAATCCTTCAGAAAAGTCAACTCTAGTTAATGAGATTAGTTTCATCAGCCATTTCTTTAAATAT